ATACCTGTGTGTGGTTGACATACCGACCAGTAGATGCTGTGAATAATGTAAAAAAAAAAAATAATAATAATAATAATAATAATAATAATAATAATAATATACAATAGAAAAAGAAAAGAGAAAATGTGTTTAAGAATTTAATCAACTAACGTAAAACTTAAAAATGTTAAATTCAATTCACTTACATGATGATTTTTTAATAGCAGCTTTTTATATATTGTTGGAATTTTTGGTATTTTATTAGGTGAGAACTAGAGAGTTCCATCAAACAAAATGAAAAATTTTCAGAAAAGTTTTTTAAAGTTTCATGATTAACGCAGATATAAATATTAAGGAATTGGGCATGGCTCTTTATTACACTACTAATACATAATAATTTTGTGTTGGGAATTTCTTATTTTCGAGCTGTTTGCATTGTATCGAGTCTTTGGTTCAAAACTATTGTTCGGTGCTTCCACCTGATGTGACAAAGTTTTTTGCCTACATGCCATTTCTGTTTTGCAGTGGTTTCACTTTCTTTGTCACCTAGCACACACGTTATGCATTTAATAAATACTTTTCATCATATCTACTTTGAGTTCTTCACTTGGCATACCATTTCCTCAAACATTGAAATTTTTTATACATTATATAAATGAATGTTGTCAACAGACAAATCTTTTCATTCCAACACACCTGAAACTAAGGAATTCCATAGTTTAAAATACCACATTGAAGTCTGCTAGAGCTACTGCTGTCATCCATTTTAAAATTGATTTAAAGAACAAGTCCTTGCCTTTACACACATTGTTCCTTATTCTTAATAAATGATCCTGAAAGAGTTTCCTTATAAATTTTGTTGTGCCTATTCCTTGACCAGAAATGAAAAATAATCAAGTGATTTCTTTGTGTGCAGAACAAAGAGGTACCTCAGTTATTATTTGAACAAAGTTTCTTGATTACTTATGAGAAAGAAATCTTGTTGGTTCATCTGTATTACTTTACTGGTACTACTATACAAGAATTCTCATTAGAGATAAAGGAGAGCACACTTAAGTTTAAGGACTTTTCCTATGGTCAAATGAAAGTTGTCTACCTGCAGAAAATTCAAGTTCTCAGGTCTTCTAAAATGTTAATGCTTATTCTGTTGCTATTCTTTTAAAGAAATGATACCAAACGAAGGAATATCATTAAATTGTCAAGCCTCCTCTCCAGAGAATGTATCGTTATTTCTGTATTATTAGATATTTTTCTCACAATTTTGACCAATGCAAATCCATGGCAAAGATTGTCCATGGAAGGGGTTAACATTTTGCAAATCAAAACATTTAACTATTGTGTTTTCATATTTGCCTGGTCTTTATTTCTTTCTTGTCTTATAAATGTTTTTTCAAGGCCATGTTCATTATATTGATTTAATAAAGTTTAATTTGACAAAGTTAGTCTATGCTCTTTTTCCACCTTGAAGAATTATAAACACAAATCACACTTGTCATTTTTTGGTTCAAAGAACTGAAAGATTGTTTGCTCATTTCCAGTTGGTTTGGATTTAAATCGCATATTAGGCAAATTTAATTCCGACTTACAGCATTCATAAATAAAGAATGAATCACTAACCAGAATATAGATTTCAGAGAATTTTCAGACTATTTATTACTTTAAGCAGAATCAAAACACACAGCAGAACAAGATCAGCAACTGATCAATTAAGGTCAAGAAACTTACAATAAAAGATCAGCAACTGTTTCAGATAGAACCTCATGATTTTAAATTTAGACTAATTTGGAAAGAAAAACCAAATTTCCCTATTTTTACGTAAGGGCAGTTGTTAGAAATGTGTTCTTAATTGAAAGTGTAACTTAACAATTTAAAGAATGCATTTATACATCTCAAAATATTAAAAAAACATGGATATAACTCTCTGGGTCTCACCTTACAAATTCTGAAGAAAGTTCTGACATCTTACAAGAAAGTGTTAATCAAATTCCAGAAGTAATATTACACATACAGAACCTGGGCAAAATTTGTTGTGAAAGTGAAAGTATGTAAAAAAGTGAAAGTATTTAAAACAAAAAATATTTGAAGTTCATGAGCCAGAAAAAAAATGTCCACAACAACCCAAAAATATAAAGCATTTTAAAATTTAAGAAGTTTACATCTGAAAATGCGAAATGTTGAAATTCAGAATTTTGGAAAACATCAACTTATCTACTCGTGCAGATATCACTATTGTACACACAACCACTTAGTTATTGATGATAATGATGATTTTTTCACCAATATTTAATATTTTTGTATATGCAGACCTTATTTTATCAGGATCACTTTCACTGAAACAAAATATTTAATAACATTCTACTGCTAAATAATTACCAAAAATAACAATAGTATCACTATCCAACTTTCAGTTTATTTTATTTATTATATTTTGAATGTTAATAATAATAGTAATAATGATAATAGTAATAATAATAATAAAAATAAAGAAAATATTATTGGCAATATTCTCAATCATTCACAAAAGAAATACTGAAATCAATCATTAACTATAAAATAATTTCTTATACTAAAATATTTCACATTTAACTACTTTTCTTCAAGACCAATGACTGTTTAACACAATATGATAAATATAATTCCTTTAAATTTTCTCAAAACGACCATTATTCCAATGCAAAAGTATGTTCTTTTAATGTCTTAAGTTACGTCAGTGACAGACATGTGTGAACTAATTAAAGTGGCTTTCTTCTTTCTGTCTTACAACAGAATCTGAACTCTTCAAATAACCTGTACTATTTAGAAATTGAATTCAAATTATTAGAATTAATTTGAAATAATACCTACAATTGAGCAACCTAATTAATAAATAAAAGGGACATAAAGTAAAAATCAAAAACGCAGGTGTTGGTGAAAAAAATGATGCTACTTTTATAAAATGTCAGTCATTATGAAAATTTATAAGAAACAAGTTGTTACTATGATTTGAAGAACTAAACTATCGA